TGTGCCTGTGTGTGCATGTGTGTATCAGGGATTGAACTCAGGGGCACTTGACCACTGAGCCACATCCCCAGCCCTATTTTGTATTTTATTTAGAGACAGAGTCTCACTGAGTTGCTTAGTGCCTCGCTTTTGCTGAGACTGGTTTTGAACTCCAGATCCTCCTGCCTCAGTCTCCCGGGTYGCTGGGATTACAGGTGTGTGCCACTGTGCCTGGTCCAAAATTCTTTAAAAATCCATGTCTTCATTTTATCTCATCAATTAATTTTGTTCCCACTCCAAAATGAATCCTGTTTTTAACTTCACTGACCTGCTCTTTTAGCTCCCAAATTTGCCAATGATAAACATTCCCAAATCTAATATTTATGTCCTAGTTTTTACCTTACTGAACCTATCAGTAGTTTATGTCTTTTTTTTTTTTTATTATTTAAATCACTCTCTTCATTTAGCCTCTGAGACAACCCTCTCTTCTATCCTTATGACCACTCCTCAGTTTCTTTTGCTAGTTGTTCAAGCCCTAATTCTCTCCACTTCTTTAAACATCATCATCCACCCCAAACCTGTCCTGCCTTGTTCAGACTCCTTGGTGTTTCTTAAATATATCAAGTATGTGCTTGCCTCAGGGTCTTGCCTAGAAGTTTCTACCCCTGATAGCCATGGTGCTTGCTTCATGACACTGTCAGATTTCTACTGAAATAGCATCACCTAATAATACATTATTACTTTCACTTTCCTCTCACCTTGACACTATTATCTCTTTCAGTCCATTTTATTTTTCTTTATAGCACTTAGCAAGGCCAGACACGTATTTGTAACATACATTTGTCTACATCTACTAAAAGGAAAACTCCAAAATATCACAGACCTAGAACAGAGCCAGAATCATTGTAGTGCTCAAGAAATACTATTTGAATGAATGGCACTGGCATTGTCTCCCAAAAGAATGGAATATTGGCACATAAGAAACAAAAATGCAGGTAAAACATTCATCCTTTAAATCTTGTAACTTGAGCTGAGTAAATCCAAACTTTATAAGGCAGATTTTGAATTGTTCTCTTTGTAAAATCACTTAATGTGAGTAGTTTTTTTTTTTAACCTTTAATAAACTCGAGACAAAAAACTTCCAGGCTTAACCCAAATATTCTTTACTTTCATATCGCTTCTTACAAAAATTAATAAACTTTACAGGACCCAGCCCATTATTGGCATCTCTTCTACATTAAAATGCTATTCAAATTATAAGCAGTCTTTTTCAAAAAAATGATATTTTGATAATTAAAAAATGATAATTTTTGCTAGCTTCAAATTCAAAATTACATAATCTATCTTGGCAAATAACTATAAAACACTCACCAATTTTCTAAACTTTCCTAACCTCAGGAGGTAGGCTGGGGGTATATAAAGAGGAGAAGAGCTTGGTGGATGAGGGGAAAGGAAGGGAATTGAGAGACAAAACCAAGTAAGCAACTTTCTTTGTCAGTTCACTAGCAGAGAGCCAGGATGAGAGTGGGCAAGTAGCAATTTGTTAACTGACTGAATTCCTTTGCGTCTTTGAAGCTGTCAGACTGCTGAGACAGATTCTTTTTGTTAACATATTATCCAAGTAACATACAAGTCTTGTGAGCCTAAGAGAGTTGTCAGGCATTTTGAGGCGATTGTTTATGTCTAGATTCTTATTCATTATTCCAACTGAATGTAAGCTCATGGAGAGAATTGTGACTGATGTTCATAAATAAATCCCCATACCCAGAAAAGTACTTGGCACATAGTAGATATTTAACAAACATCTGCTATATAAACAAATGAAGTATATATTGATCTTAGAGTTTAACTGGTAACTGGAGTTAAAGTATGAAATTCTTATTCAAGGACTACATTAGACTTTAGTGATTTGAAATATCCAATTAAGAGGTTATTATGGATTTCATTTCTAGCATTGGGTCTGACTAAATACCTTGAATGACTCTTCCAATGGAAACAACTACAATGCTGAAAGTAATATTTAAAATATATTGCTAAATACATTGCTAAGGTACCACGAAAAAAAGAATACTAGATTCTAAAAGAGAATTAAAATAGAAACTTTGGATTAAATAGTATTAGGTAGACTCAGCCCCCATGTCTTATTCCAATGAGCATGCTGAATTATACGGAAGAGTGCTGAGAGCCATTGCCAAGTAGGAATGATGCATTGCAATTTCTTTGTCAGCCTACCCAATGTTGCTTAGAGGAAGGACTCTCCATATTGGACCCAGGTCATTTGCAGTGACACTGCATGAGAAAGGTGACCCTGCTCAAGGACCAGGGTGGATCCGGGTTTAGGGAGGATCCTTCTGGGAATAGGGAGTATCCTGCTCCTTGGGTTTAGGGTGGTTCCAGGTTTAAGGTGTACCCTGCTGGGAATAGGGCGTATCCTGCTGCCTAAGGTGTACCCTGCTGGGAATAGGGCGTATCCTGCTGCCTCAAGCGCCAGCCTGCTCCTTGAGTTCCCGTTGAGTTCTCGCGGGATTCAGAAAGTATTTGGGATTCAGAGCCTGGTGGAGTACATGAATTTTGCCCAGAACCTGTGTGTAGAGTGCCGGTGACAGTTCGAGAATAAAGAGTTGCTGTTTGAATCTACAAGGTGTGAGTGGCTCGTGATTTTGTGCCCAGCCAGACTGGGGCAGAAGAGGGGTCTTTACAGAAGAAACTGAGGTTACTAATCAGCTGACCTTAAAATTGGGAGATTATCTGGGTGGACCTAATGTAATCATGAGTCCTTAAAGCAAAAGAAGCCAAAAGTTTATGAGATGGGCAGAAAGGAAAGTCAGAAAGACTTAAAATGTCAGAAGATATAGCCCACCATTACTTCTTGAACATGGAGGGGCCACAAACCAAGAAATGTGGGTGGACTTTATATTTAGAGCAATTCCTGACAGATAGCAGCAAGGTAACAAGGTCCTTAGTCTATAACTACATGAATTGCATTCTGTCAACAACATGTACAAGCTTATAAGTGGATTCTTCTCCAGAGTCTTCAGATACAAATTTAGGGCATATACCCGTTCACTGCAACCTGCACCCACAAACTTAAGGGGACCACCCTCCACCCAAGATGTGGCACCACAGGCTGACCCTGCTGGTGTTTGTGGCCATGTTGCTGATTGTCCTGCTGCTAGTGGTATGTAATTGGTATTTAGTGTGGTATAATATGGAATAATTTTCTCTGGGAACTGGTAGAGACACAGGATCCCAGGAAGGAGATCATGAACTTTTGGGTTATGAAACTGAAGAAGCTATTTCATCCTCTCCACACAGGATAAAATCCCCTCACCAAAGGAAGGTGACTACTGATGAAGGCCATTGACCCTAGACATGGTACTTTATTAGTAAATGATGAAAGGCAATTTTGAGCCTTTGTCTTTAGTGAGTTGGCTTTGAAATTTAATAAATGACTAAATAATACGGTACTTGGATTTCATATGCAGTTCAAAAAATTTAAATGTAAGCCATATAGTAATAAAGGGCTTAGGCCAGTCAACACCTTGACTTTGGTCTTTAAAGATTCTAAGCAGAAAAGTTATGCAAGCTAGCCTAGAATTCTATCCTATAGAACTGTGATAAAATAAATGGGTGTTTTAAGCTGCTAAACTTAATAGATACAAGACAAAACTAATATATAAAGTAACTGAGTAAAACAGCTGACTTTTACCTTGAAGGTCTCTACTAAATCCTGGAGATCTTTAGCCTCACCTATGATGGACACAGAAGGTGAGAGGGATGAGAGATAAAACTTAGGTCTGCCCAAGGTGAAGAAATGTTAATAGGAAACCTGTGCATGAAACCGGATTCTCAAAGACCATACCCTTGGTATAAGAACATATAGTAACTAAAAAGCTATTCTGAGATAAATGTCAAAGCATATAAAATTTAACTAAGCCAAGTTATGAGATTTTTTTTCTTTCATTGTTCTTTCTACATTTTCTTTAATTCATATATATCACAGTCCCTGAGATAACATTAATAACCACTCAAGCATAAAGAACTATGTACAACAGTTTCTACGTAGTAAATTTACAGTCATTTAAAAATAGGCATATCAGCCAAGCATGGTGGCACAAGCCTATAATCCCAGCAACTCAGGAGGCTAAGGCAGGAGGACTGCTAAAGACCAGCCTCAGTAACTCAGTGAGGCAGATGGACTGCTAAATTCAAGACCTTGATCTCATAAGGCAGCTTAGTGAGATCCTGTTTCAAAAAAAAAAAAAAAAAAAAGGTTGGGGATGCTGTTTTAAGACTTCATCATGACACTGGCCAAATCATATTGTTATATTGTGTACTGTGTGCATGTACAAATATGTAACAACAAATCCCATCAGTATGTAAATTATAATGCACCAATAAAAAAAAAGTAGGGAAAAGAAAAGACTTCATAAAAACAGAAGAGGGAAAGAACCAACTGCTGGAAAAATTTCAGATACTGTCATATAGTTTATGGGAAGAAAGCTTTTGGAATTCAAGGATGAGAAGCAGCATTCTAAACAGTCAAGCTCATTTTAGAAATAGGTACTAAGTGTAGTAGAAAGATCATACTGATCAAGATAGGAATAAGAATACGTATCATTATATCTGTCCCTGTTATCTAGTCAAAATTTAAGTTAAAAAAATCTTTAAGCCCTATTTATACATGAATCCATACATTATCAACATAACAATCTTAAAGCTCTTAAGTATCTTCAAATTAATTACTTGTACTGCTATAGTTCAGGTGACCTGATTTCAGAATTAATAAATCAATTTTACCTTTTTTTTAATAGCAGGAGCACAAAAGAACACTGTCATCATTTTAAATACATGGTCTCTAAAACACACAATACCTAAATGTCTTCATTATACATGCATCTAGGGGAAAACCAAAATTACTTCACTCTTATCACTGAGTTTTAAGACAGAAAGAAGTAAATAGAATTGCTTTTTCAAACCTGTTTTGATGTAAATATCTTCTCATGTCTTCTGTTTTTTGAAACTCCCTAATGGCACTTGTCTTTACTGGTGAACACTAAATCAAAAATAGGATAAATAAATCAATTTAACGTGTATCCAAAATACAGTGATTACACCATTCACATTCAACTTTTTAGGGATTTGTGCATTACAGTAAAAATAATTTCAACAGAATCTTAAAATGTAAACTTTCTGAAAGCACTATAGAGTACTTGCATATTTTTGATAAAATATTCACAATATACATTATATCTAAAAAAGATTTCCTACTTGCTATATTATATAAATTATAGTGACCAAAAAATGATAAGAAAGAATCTTAGAGGTCATATAATACAAGCTTCTACCCAAGTCACAAATTATCTTTTTCTTTTTGGTAGAAAAATGGGATTGAACCCAGGGGTGCTTAACCACTGAACCACAACCCCAGTCCTTTTTAAAAACATATTTTATTTAGAGACAAGGTCTCACTGAATTGCTAAGTGCTGCTGAGGCTGGCTTTGAACTCATGATCCTCCTGCCTCAGCTGTGCCCAGCCAGGACAGAAATTTCTATCTATCCCACCCCAACATTAACCAAGTTTCTATCGAACATTTGTAGTAATAGGGAATTCACTGGGTAGATTGTCTCTTTACTTTTTCACTACCATAACTGTCTCTTATCTTAGTTTTACAAATAGTTCTGGGGATGCTAATGTATATCAAGATAAAATATTGCCAGGCGTAGTGGTGCATGCCTGTAATCCCAGTGGCTTGGGAGGCTGAGGCAAGAGGATCTCAGGTTCAAAGACAGCCTTAGCAAAAGTGAGGTGCTAAACAACTTATGAAACCCTGTCTTTAAATAAAATACAAAATATGGCTGGAACTGTGGCTCAGTGGCTGAGTGTCCCCAAATAGTTCAATCCCCGATACTAAAATAAGTAAGTAAGTAAGTAAATAAATAAATAAATAAAACAAAAAGTAAATTCTCTTTAAAATACAATATTAATTAAAAGAGAAATAGTGGCAACTGAAGTTATCTATAAACTAAAAGGTAAAGGTCATTTTCAAAACGTATTACTAAGGAAAATTAAGCTGGATCACACACTGAAAAATAAAATTATAAGCCAAAGGCAAGAAGTTTAAAGATTATCACAGTATATTATATGTTGAATGAGAATCTACAGAAGCAATACAATCTTGTGTCAACACCAAAAATCATCAAAAGGGGTATTCTTCAAGGGAAAACTAAGAAAACAACTTCTCCAAAAAAGATAACTAAAAATCAAATGTCAAACTACTTCAGTATAGTTTAACACAATATAGTATATTCTACCTCCATGAAATTACGTGTGATATATCTACACGTAACTAGAAAATCCTCTTTGGTAATTTACTCCAAAGGGTTAAAAGGTGACTGCTTTAATGTTAGGGCATATAGAATGAATTACAATTCTGAAACCCTGATAAGAAAATAATTACTCTGATTTTATGACTGTCACTTTGGGGGGGAATTAACCGGGGATGCTTTAACACTGAGCTATATCCCTAATCTTTTTTATTTTTTATTATCAGACAGAGTCTTGCTAAATTGCTGAGGGCCTTACTAAGTTCCCAAAGCTAGGACTGAACTTGTGATCCTCTCATCTCAGCCTCCTGAGTCACTGGGACTATATAGGTAGGCATCACTGAGCCTGGATGACTACGTCATTTTTTAAGAAACAAACATCTCTCCAAAGATGCTATATCGGTGACCTACCACCCTGGTTTTATGATATTGCAATTATCTAAAATTACTGTGAGAGGTTCATTGAATTTCCATAACAGAATGAATGTGACATTAATGTAATTTAAAAAGTAAGTATATGTCATAGGCTGTTCAGGCAGGGTTGATCTATATATGTGAGAGGAATTTTAATAAAATTAGATAAGGCAAAATGTTTTAACATCTCAAATAGCTTGTTTCTTAAACTTAAATTTTTTCAGCAATCTTTTAAAAATATAGTATACTGGAATACAAAAAGACATATCTTCACTGGTTGTTAAGCCATCTAAAACAATACTGCTTCATCATAATTTTACAGATCATCAAATTTTAGAAAGATTTATGAAACAAGTCATAAAGAACCTTATGATATACAATCATTGAAAACTACCATATATAGTAAGTAGGTGGAATTTAAAACCAATTACAAAGAACCAATAAAATGGATTAAAGAAATGGTAGCTTATTTTTTCAGAGTAGTGTAATAGTGTTTTCAGTTTTAGTGGAGATACTTTTGTAGCCTAATTAACCATACAGTGATCAAAGAGGATCACAAGAAAAGAAAAAGGTTTTCTTTAAAGAGTATAATGTGAAATTATTAATTTTACTTTTATTATAAAGTAGTTTTTATTCCAGCAGAGATGTTAATAGCCTAAATCACACACACTTCATTAATCACCTGGTCTAGTGCTATCTCTGGGCTATAAGATTTGACTTATATAACTTTATTCAACTTTAAGTGCAAGAGTATCCTCTGAACAAAAAATATTGTGTTCAAAAGCTTTCAAACAGGAAAACCAAAGGATTCTTTCTAAAGATGATAATATCACTCTACAACAAGCCCCACTTAAAAGTGATTAAATACATCATTCTCCAAAAAGGCCCCAACTGTTTCCCAAATAACCCCTGCTCAGAGCCTGCGATGAACTCCAGACATCGACATCACATCCACCCAAATAGAGCCATTTTATTACGCTGACTAGATATACTGAAGAATGCTATTCTACTTAAGACCCTTGGGGAACTGGCAAAGATTCTGCAGTGGGCTGAATGCTCATTTGTTTTCTAAGGCAATTCAACACTCCACCATAAGACACACCCAAGAATTTTAACAGCAAACAATTTATATTCTGTTAATTTAAAAGCTTCAATAATTTTAAGTTTATAATAAAAATTCTATGGGCAAGTTGTATATTGCCTCAGAAGTTAAATTTGTGGTGTAATTCTTAATAAGTGATCAATCAAATTATGATTTTTCAGTTAATAACAATAAAAAAAGCAAAAAACAAAGACTCACTAGAAATCCTAAAAACATTGAAAAGCATCACATTCCTTTGTGTTTTCTTCAAAGACCTTAGGCTACTCTTAGGAACCCTTTTAGTCCTTCTTCAAAATTACAAAATCTGTCTCTTTATTTGAAAAACAAACCTAAATCCTACTTAAGAAGATTGTCTGATTTTCTGAATAAATCTGAAAAATTTAGGACTAAAATCAGAAGTGAACATTATACAATAATTAGGGCTAAACAAACAAATCACTGATATGATAGAAAATTATACTACCTTAATTGTTCTTACTAGGGGAGAGCAATACTACCTCATGAGAGACTCGCCGTTGTTCAATATATGCCATAAACTGTGAACTGAGGCTCTCTGAGTCCAGTCCCTTGGATCGTTTCACCTCGTCCTCTTCTTCCTCTGCAGTACAGCTGTCAATGTAGTCAATTTGATCCAGATCATGTTCCACTGTATATACCACACACACACACCAGAAAAAAATATTCCAAGTAAGACAGCCAATAAAAGACATTTACTTAAATTATATTTTCTTTCTCCCCAACATTTTCTGTTCTGAAAGTAGAAGGAATGATAACGGTAATTTACATAAACCTTAATTATTTAGTCCATGGCTACTCACAAAAACAGTCTTCTGAAAATCTTAGTCCTAATTCACTCAAAAAATGCAATAACTGATAGTAACTATTGAAATGCAGACCTTCAATATTTCTTTCCTTCCTTCTTTTTTTTAAAATAAGACTGAGTTTGTGGAATAAATACAACAGATTAATTTTTAAAGATGGAAAAGTGTACCTTCTTTTAATGCTTTAGTTTGGGGCTTAACATCTCTCTGGGAACTGTAAGGCATAAAACCTAACAATCAACTCAAAAAAATGTGAAAGACTATAAAAAAGAGAAAGGGTAGGAAGAAACCCAACTTGGCAAGAAAGAGAGTTACTGGCTGTTTCCCTTCTTGAAACTGTTGTCAGACTTAAAAAAAAAAAAAAAAAAGATCAGAACAAAGATTTTCCTATTTAGAAAATTATTCACTAGAGGTCAATGTTGAAGATATTTTGTTTGCAGCAATTTGTGAATGAAAGGAATCAATTAAGGAATTTTTTTCTCAAGATGCTTTAGGGAAAAGAAAGGAATATAAATAAGATATAGCCACCTAATTGTTTCATCTGGTAAGTTTTGGAATGTCCTATTATTTTTAAGTTTAAAACTAATAACTTTTAACAACTAGTTAAAAGGGTACACTAAGAAAAATCCTTGCTGTTAAGATGGTTTCTCCAGAAATACATTAAACCTCAACCAACCATTATTTTATGATGTCCCATAGACTACCTAAAAGTTGTAGTTTCTGGGAATAGATAATTTGGAGAAGACTATTTTTTAATTTAGTTTTTTTCTGAGTCAATTATTTCTAAATAATTCTGTAACTGCAGTTAGTATTAAAATAAGTTTTTAAGTTGTTAAAGTTTTTTTTTCTTAGTTATAACTGGACACAATACCTTTATTTTATTTATTTATTTTTATGTGGTGCTGAGGATCGAACCCAGTGCCTCGCAAGTGCAAAGTGAGAGCTCTACTGCTGAGCCACAAACCCAGCACCTTAAAATTTGTTAATAACTAAAAAGATAAAAAATTAGAAATCAGGTACAGAAATCCATTTCTTTCAATGTACACAATCTGTCTGATTAAATAGTTTATATTATGACCATTTCCCAAGAAAGCAACATCATTTCTTCATAGTAGCTAGACCAGCATGGTCTAAGAGAAAAAGAATGGAAGCCCTGAAAGTAAACCATATAGGTAATTTAAAATTTTCTAGTAGCCATGTTAAAAAAAGGGGGGTGGGAAGGTGATGTATCAATCTCCAGGATATATAAAGAACTTAAAACCAAAAAAAAAACAACCCTTCAGCTAAGGAACTGAACAGAGACTTCAAGAAGAAATACAATTGGTTAATACATATATGAAAGACTGTTCACATCTCTAGCAATTAGAGAAATGCAAATTAAAACTACACTGAGATTTTATTCCACTTCAGTCAGAATGGCAATTATTAAGAATACAAGTAATAATACATGTTGGCAAAGATATGGGGAAAAAGGCATACTCATACATTGCTGGTGGGACTGCAAATTGGCGCAACAACTCTGGAAAGTAGTATGGAGATTCCACAGAAAACTTGAAATGAAACCACCATTTGACTCAGCTATCAGACTCCACAGTTTATATCAAAAGGACTTAAAATCAGCATACTAAGTGACACAGCCACATCAATGTTTATAGCAGCTCAATTCACAACCTAGATGCTTTTCAATAAATGAATGGATAAAGAAACTGTGGTATATATATACAATGGAATATTACTCAACCTTAAAGAAGAATGAAATTATGGCATTTGTAGGTAAATGGATGGAGCTAGAGAATATCATGCTAAGTGAAATAAGCCAATCCCCCAAAAGCAAAGACCAAACATTTTCTCTGATATGTGGAAGCTAATTCATAATAAGGCAGGGGGAGTGGCTAGGGAAAAATAGAGGTACTTTGGATTAGGCAGAAGGGAGTGAAGAAAGGGGAGGAGGTATGGGGATAGTAAGGATAGTTCAATGAATCAGACATTAGTACCCTATGTATGTATATGATTACACACTTGGTATGATTCTACATCATGTACAACCAGAAGAAAAAGAAGTCATACTCCATTTATGAACAGTGTGTAAAAATGCATTCTACTGTCATGGTTAACTAATTAGAACAAATAAAAAAATAAAGGGACATTAATTTAAATACTTTTGTCTGGTATATCTAAATGTTATTTTAAATAGCTGACATAAGATACTATTGTTTTATATTTTTTTCTCATAGAAAGTCTTCAAAATCTGATGAATATTTTTTATTTATAGTACATCTATATTCAGTATTTATAGTACATTTCAAATGCTTCATAACCATATATGGCTAAGGGCTGAAAAATGGAAATTAGAAAATTTAGAAAATTAGAAATTAGAAAATTTTCTAATTAGAAATTAGAAAAACTAAAAATTATTTTAAATTATTTTAAATATCAAATGAACTGAAGGGAACATATATAAGAAAAAAATTTAAAAGAAAATTGAAACTATTTGAAATGTGAATGCAATGTTAAATGACCAGAATAAAGAATATCAAAATGGTGAGGAAAAGAAAAACAGCAAACCTCTTAATTGAAATAATCATTCACAGATGAAAGCTCTTCTGTTACAACATAATGGAAAATCAAAGCCATTTCTTCCTTTATATGCGATTCACAAAATTTAAACATCAGTATGTGGTTACTCAAACTAAAGCAATATAAAATGATTACAATATTTCAAGTCTGCTTCAGAAGTACAAGAAAGCAGAAAAAAACCTGCTCACTCTATGAAAACTACAATGTTTTAAATGCCAGAATAAGGAAAATGGATTCATAAGTCCATGAAAATCATTATTCTAGATGAAAGAAAAGGCAAACATACAGAAAAAGAAAAGTGCTGAATTCTTACAGAGATCAAATAATGCCTTAAAAAAGGAGTTGTTTTGATTTTTTTTTTTTTTGGTATTGGGGATTAAACCCAGGGCCTCGCACTACCAAGCTACATCCCCAGCTCAAAAAGGAAAATCTTACTAAGGGAGAATGGTACTTTAAAAGAAGATGTGGCCAGGCATGGTGGCACATGCCTGTAATCCCAGTGGCTCTGCAGGCTAAGGCAGAGGATGGCAAATTCAAAGTCAGCCTCAGCAATTTAGTGAGGCCCTAAGCAACTTATTGAGAATCTATCTAAAAATAAAAAAATAAAAAAGGCTGGAGACGTAGCTCAGTGGTTAAATAACCCTGGGTTAAACTGATAGTACTCCCTCTCCCCACACCCCCCCCCCCAAAAGTGAAGAAGTTACAGATGCATGAACCACAGGAATAGATGTGAAAGAGACCACTTTAAAAAGTTAACATGACCAGGGGCTAGAGTTGTAGCTCAGCGGTAGAGTGCTTGCCTTGCATGTGTGAGGCACTGGGTTTGAATCTCAGCACTTCATACAAATAAGTAAGTAAAATAAAGGTCTATCAACAACTGATGAATATTTTTTATTTATAGTACATATTTAAAAAAAAGTTAAGGTGACTATAAAGATTTCAGATGTCACTGAGATTATGTTTACCTCCACCATTTGTTACTACTAAACTGTTGCGATTCTCTTGGTATTGGCTTTCTCGTCGTAGTCTTTGTTCTTTAGTAATCTCTGCTACTCGGAGAGGCAGATCTGAAAATTCATCTGTAGGCTTAAAAAAGTAGTAGAAACATTAAAAAAAAAATTTTCAAATTTGGATGCATATTTATATGAGCACAATATAAAATAATTAAAATTACATTTAAGAAAAAATAGTGAAAAAGTTTTGGAAATAAAATGAAGATTATTGTAGGACAATGTGAATGTACTGAATGCAAAAGAAATGTACACTTTAAAATGGTTAAAACTTAGCTGGGCACAGTGGTGCACGCCTGTAATCCCAGCAACTCAGGAGCTGAGGCAGAGGATTGTGGGTTCAAAGCCAGCCTCAGTAATAGCAAGGTGCTAAGAACTCAGTGAGACCCTATCTCTAAATAAAATACAAAAAAGGGCTGGAGATGTGGCTCAATAGTTGAGTGCCCCTGAGGTCAATCCCAGTACCCCCCACCCCAATGGTTAAAACTTTATGTTACATATATTTTACTATAATTACCAAAAAAAGAAATAAAGGTATTTATGAGTATATAACTTTATCTACATATATCTCTCTATGGATAAAGCGACATTTATGTACATAGCTACCCAGATATACATACACAAGCAATCCTAAGTTATAAATAAAAGTAGCCAGGTGTGGTAGCTATGGCCAGGGACTTAGGAGGCTGAGGCAGGAGGATCCATGAACCTCGGCAACTCAGCGAGACCCTAAGAAACTTAGTGAGCCCCTGTGTCAAAAATAAAAAATAAAGACCAGGAGGTGGCACACACCTATAATCCCAGTGGCTTGGGAGGCTGAGACAGGAAAATCACAAGTTCTAAAGCCAGTCTCAGCAATGGTTAGGCGCTAAGCAAGTCAGTGAGACCCTATTTAGTGTCTCTAAATAAAATAAAATATAGGGCTAGGGATACAGCTCAGTGGTCGAGTGTCTCTGAGTTCAATCCCTGGTAACCCCCCCCCAAATAAAAATAAACAAACAAACAAATAAATAAAAGGGCTGGAGATATAACTCAATGGTTTAATGCCCCAAGTTCAATCCCTGGTACAAAAAAAAAAAAGTTATAAATGATTTGAGGTCAAAATTTATTTATATTTTTTAAATTTTCTTAGTTATACAGGGACACAATATTTTTATTTTTTTAATTTATTTTTATGTGGTGCTGAGGATCAAACCCAGTGCCTCAGAGGTTCGAGGCAAGCGCTCTGCCACTGAGTCACAACCCCAGTCCAAAATGAGATTTTCTTTGCATTCAGTGAAACATGTTATAAACTATGTTACCCGTCCGGGTAACAAAAGCTCATTTGTTCATTTAATAAATGCATAGCTAAAATATTACACCTTAATGATTTTAAAAAAGCAGGAAACATTATCACTGGTAATTGAACAAAACAGGAAAAAAAATGTAATTCTGAGCATGTGGTATTCTTCAGTAAGATTCCATCTCCTTACTACTATTTATTTTCCTACCTTCTAGCACTTCTTCTACCATCTCTGCTCCAGATTTACCCCAGACCCTCAGATTTTAGGTTTCAGTTTTACTGACTTAACTGCTATTCAGCTTTCCAAAAAAAAAGAAACTATTGATACAATGAGGAACAAGCATGTGAGAATACACATGATAAAAAGATGGTAAAGAAACAGAATACTATTTTTGAATGGTAGAGCTATGTGAGATATTTGCCTTGGCTTATCTGTTATGTAATAAGAAAACTGGATCCAGTTTAGATATTTCCTTTTCATTATTTTATTTTCTCTTAATCAGGAGTTATGACATTCAGAATAAAGAAACACTTACCTCATTCCCTGACCATCTCTTATCACCACTGTCCACACTATTGAAACCTGAATCAAGGGCTCCATAAGGGCGACCTGAATATAGTTCTTCATGGCTACCAAAAAGAAACTTCAGTTATTACTGCAAATATTAACTTGTGATGCCAGGTATGGTGGTGCATGCCTGTAATCCCATGTTTCCTCTATGCCTCCTCCCATTCCCCATGTCCCCTCATTGTTTTTACTTTTAATAGTACTTTTTATAAAATTAAATTTACATACATTGAAATATATAAATCTTAGCTGTGTGAATTTGACAAATGATTACAACCTTGTATATTCCCTCTAGCATAACAGAAGACACTTCTATTTTGCCACCAAATTCCACACATCACTGCCCAATTAATTCCCCTTACTTTCTACTCGGTACTCCTCAGGGACAATCACCACTCTTTTTTTAATCTTAAAAAAGATTAGAAGTATGGAAGGGTGAAATAATGGTCCCTAAAGATGTTCATGATTTAATCCCTGGAAACTGTATGTTACCTATGTGACAAAAGGAATTAAGGCTGTAGACAGAAATAAACAGCTAATCAGCTGACTTTAAAATGGGGAGATTATTCTGGTTTACTAGTATGAACCCAATGTAATCACAAGGGTCCTTAAAAGAGGAAGGAGGCAGAAGAGGTCAGTGTGATGCAATGTTGGCTTGAAGACAGAGTAAGAGGACCACAAATCAAGGAGTAGGGCCTCTAGAAGTTAGAAAAAGCAAGAAAAAGGATCCTACCCAGGGCCCACAGCAAAAATCACAGCTCTATCAGCATCCTGATTTAGTCTGAGGAGACTGTGTTAGTCTTCTGACCTATAAAAACGTAAGATAAAAAGTATGTGCTGTTTACACCCCTAAGTTTATGGTAATTTGTTATAGTGGCAATAGAAAAGCAATATAATTAGTCTTACTTATTCTAGAACTTAGAAAAATCTATTTCCTATTGGTAGACATTTTAGTTATTTCCTAGTTTTTGGCTGCTGTAAGAAAAAGTGCTACGAATAAGCTATGAACAATGCTACAAACAGTGGCACACACCTGTAATGCCAGCTACTTGAGAGGCTGAGGGAGGAGGATTTTATATTTGAGGCCAGACTGAGAAACTTATCTGAAAAAAAGAAAGAAAGAGAGAGAGAGAGAGAGAGAGAGAGAGAGAGAGAGAGAGAGAGACAGACAGACACAAGCAGATGTGGGTGGAGGCTGGTGATGAAGCTAGCAAGTGCAGGGCAATGGGTTCAATCCCCAATGCTTGGGGGAAAAAAATTTCAAAAGGTACCATGAACTTTAGTGAACAATTACTTCATCATTATATTGGATAAATTACACTGAAGTAAAATAAATGTTTTATATGGGAATTATAGCATTAATTTTTTTTTAAAAAAAGTTGCCTGTTTTTGAATGTAGCTGTACCATTTTGAATTCCCACCAGCAATGCATTTGTGTTCCAATTGCTAATTTTAATTTTTATTTGTCTGATGACTAGTGATACTGAGTATGTTAATATGGTATGTTTACTGATCATTTATTTATATTCTTTTGTTAAATGTCTGTTCAAATCTTTTGCCAATTTTTAAAATGCAACGTTAATGAATCCCAAAAGTATTCTGGTGAGGAAAAATAAAAAAAAAGCCAGACACAAAATGTTACATACTTAATTGTCTGATTTTTAACTGAAATGACTGCATTTCTATGATATTGTAGAAAAGGTAAAACTATATTGTCTGAAAACAGATGCACAGTTACCTGGAGCATGTGTAACAGGACATGAAGGTAATGGAAATGTTATATATTTTGGTTGTTTTACTGTTTTCATAACTGTACACGTTTACCAAAACTCACTGAACTGCAAACTTAAAACCAGTAAATTTTATGCCTCAAAAGAGCTGTTATAAATAAACCCACAAAACTGCTAACCTATTTTGCCAAAGTATATGCACCATCTTTGCATGTCTGTAAGCAATGTATGAGAACACTGGTTGCTTCACATCCTAATCATCATTTGGTATTGTCAGTATTTTTTCTTCTTAAATTTTGGCCATTCTGGTGTCCTAATATCTATCAACTTACTTTGCATTTTTATGATGACTAACAATGTGTGTGCTGTACTTACTGGTCATTTATATATCTCTCTTTGTGAAGTGTCTAATTTTTAACCAAATTGTCTCTTTATCATTAAGTTGTGGGTACCCTTTATATATTTGGACGCAGGTTGGTTATCACATATCTGTTTTATAAATATTTTGTCTTAGTCTATGATGTGCCTATTCACTTTTTGAATGTTTTCTTTTCACAAGTAGATGCTTTTAATTGATGAAATCTAACATCATTTCTTCCTTTTATGATTATTATTTTCTGTGCCTAAAGAAATTATTGACTACAAGTCATAAAGATATTCTTTCATATCTTTTAGAAACTTTTAGTTTTAGTTTTTGCTTCTTCTTTAATGCTTTTTAAAATTTAGCTTAATTAGAAATCTAAAATATGATAAATTGTATTTTTAAAACTATTTTTATCTAATTAGTCTGCCTAATTTGAAAAGCAACTTTCAATAGTACAATTTTAAAATAGTGTTCTTCTAGTACTAAATTTTATATTCCTTATATTCTCTTTTTTTTGGTAATTTTTTTAGTGGACCTTTATTTTATTTATTCATATGCAGTGCTAAGAATCGAACCCAGTGCCTCACACATGCTAGGCAAGCACTCTACCACTGAGCCACAACCCTAGCTCAATTCTTTATATTTGTATATATTTCATAAGTGATGTACTTGCAACTTACAGACCCGTAAAATAATAGTTTGGTACTACTTACCAACTATTAGCTAAAAGAAGTCGCTTAATTTTTGTAAAATAAGGATAAACCATTTCTACTTACTTGCCTTTCACATAAAAAAGCTTTATGTAAACTAAAAACAAAACAAACCTCTATGTGAATGTAAGACAGTTTTTATAACTTGCCATTTATTGATAAAGATATTACTTTAATTATTTAACTACAGACCTACTTGTCCAATGTGATAAGTAAGTACTAATTACAAAATAAGATTCAAAACCACAGGAAACTTCTGGTTATCTTTCTCATTTTTCTACTTGCCCCCATAAAGGTCAGAGAGCTAAAAAGCAAACAAAACAAAATTCTACTAAAAAAAAAAAAAAGCTTTTAATTTTCCCCAACCCTATATTTTGAAAAAAAAAAAATTCACCTCTACACAAAAGCTGGAAAAGAGTACAGTGAATACCAATTTTCAACTTGATTTCCCCAATCGTTGGTAGTTAAGTAAAATGTTTTATGAAGAGCATGTCCATGATCTGTCTGCTTTAATGCTTGTTTCAGAGCCTAGACCTTAAGGACAGGTACTATGTGTGTTTTATTACAGCAAAGCCAACCAATATGTCTAATTTTAAGATCGTTCTAATAAAATATGCAGAACAAACTTTAAAGATTCCTTTTTGCAGCTTCCAAAACAAATATGTATATTTCAAGATTTGCAGAACAGTATTTTTAACTATCATGTATTGTTTTTTTTCAAGATGGTCATCCTACACATAAATAGGAGGCCTGGTAGAATTCTGCTAKGCTCCAGCTTACCTTGTCAGAAAGTTCAGTCTCTTTAACAAACCATCTAGCACAATATAGAATTAATCGCTTTAGTGGGATTACAGAGGCAGAACTTTTCTTACTAGCAGTTTATTCTTTCCTTAGTTTTGATTTAATGCCACACCATCATAAATATATTTAGTTTGTGACATAAAGTTGCTTACAATTACATCAGTAAAAAGCACACGTCCCTGTAGCTCAAAAACAAAAAAATATGGTACCAATGTGTAAAACAAAGGTTATCACAATAATGCAATTTACTAAAGGACTTGGAAACATTTACATCTGAAAATGAGTAAAAAAAATGTATAGTTTTTATAAAATAATGTTTGTGGGCTGGGGATGTAGCTCAGTGGTAGAGTGCTTATTTTAGTATGCACAAGGCCCTGTGTTTGATCCCCAGCACTTCAAAAAAATCAAAATAAAACACAAATGTATTTTTAAAATATTACACAAAAATAAGAAAGTTACATCTAAAGATTGAAAGAACTAAAATATCTAATTTGTATTGAGCATCCAAAGAGCTACAGAATTAATAAAGATTCCCTTTAGCAAGACTGGACTATCTAAATTAGTTCCAGTCTAATTATTATGCCTAATATTGAAAAAGGGCATTATAAATGCACTTTCAGACACATGTCATTAAAAGTATAAACAGTGTAAAGATCATGCTGAAGAAATGGAACTTCAGAGAGGTTAAGTGAACTCCCTAATAGTACAGGGATCCAGAAGCAAAACCCTCTGACTGCATGTCAACCCTTTCAATAGCAAATTGCTAACCACAATATGAGTCTATTAATCTGTATCTCTAATAAGGAACACATGAAGGCATAATATCTCATTCACTAATGCTTGAGGTGTTGAATGAAGTATCACATACATGGTTATACCTTGTTACCCAGGGGGCATTGGTTCCAATACTCCCGATGGATACCAAAATCTGGGATGTTCAAATTCAAAAATTCCTTATTTAAAATAGAGTAGAGAGTTTTCATATCATCTATCTATCTATCTATCTATCTATCTATCTATCTATCTATCTATTTTGGAGTCAGGGTCCGGGCTATGTTGTATAGGTTAACTCCAAATTCTTGGGCTCAAATGATCCTCCTGCCTCAGCCACCCGAGTAGCTGGTACTAAAGGCACTGTCCCCATGCCTGGTGATCCTCCATAATATACTTTAAATCATCTCTGGATTACTTAAAATACCTAATATAATGTAAACGGCATGTAAATAGTTATTAGACTGTATTGTTTAGGGAATAGTGATAGAAAAAAATCTGTAAATATGCATTACAGGTATATTTTTCCCCTAATATTTTCAATATATACTTGGTTGAATTCATGGACATGGAAGCCTGACTATATATAAATATATGCAACAAATCATAATTTCTAGGACATTGTGAAACAACTCATAGCTCTAGAAATATAGAAATTTCCAAATAGGTCAAGATTACCCCCTTTT